CTACGTCTTTTAAACTTGGGCTCTAGGAGTATCTGTAGAAACTGCCATGGTTGCTGGGGTTACTATATAATTTGCTGACGGAAGCACGCACGAGCAACATTAGACCGAGCTCGTAACTCGTACGAGCAACAGCGATAAAGGATCACGTTTCAAAACTCTTGCGCATGCTCGCGGCGTGGGGGGTTCTATGACTCCACGTTCTCACCACACGAGGTCTCTGGCGTCTCCACTGGGGGTTCTATGACCCCACGCTCTCAACACACGGTGTCTCTGGCACCTACTGTGGGGGTCTGTGACCCCACTCTTCACCACACAGCGTCCGTGACGCCTCCTCTGGGGGTTCAATGACCCCACGTTTTCACCACACCGGGTCCCTGGCGCCTTTACCGGGGGTTCTATGACCTCACTTTTTCACACACACGGGTTGTGATGGGCACCATCGACTAAAAACTATCGACTAAGTCGATAGTAACCAACGACTACTTTTAGTCGACTAATTTTTTTAATCGTCGACTACTTTAGTCACTTCAAGTGACTAACTTCAGACGAATAATATTAGTCGCGTGAAGCGACTAACTTCACACGAATAATATTAGTCGCTTGAAGCGATTACTTTCAGGCGAATAATATTAGTCGCTTGAAGCGACTACTTTAGTCGATTAAATTTAGTCGCTTCAAGCGACTTGCTGGAACTATCGAGCTATTGATCGCTATTGACTGATCTTGATTATTTTTTTTGCGATGCAAACGAATTGTAATTTTTCCATATATTTTTTTATGCATTACCTTGTAAACTAATCGTTTAAATTTCTCCGAAAAAGTCAGATCGTTAATTTTAAAAAGTTTATTTAATTGTTTAGAGTGCACGAATACTTTCGTGCCTCTTTTATATTAATAAGAAATTTTAAGTATTACTAAGAAAGAAGACGAACCAACTAGAACGTATTATCTCAGAATTCGACTCTGTCACTTGATAATGTAAACATCTAAAACTCTAAACATTACAGGAAGCAGGGGTGG